CGAAAAGAGAGTGGTTCAAAAAGTTCTAAAATTAATGGATGATGCTAATGGTGAGGTGCAGAATTTGGCTGTTAAATGGTAAATTGAAAAAATATCAATGCCATCTGAAAAGCATCGAGAGCTCGAGATTTTTTTTTTTTTTTTTTACCTTCTGAAACCATTATCTTTTCAACCTACCATATAGCCTTGCGCCACTTGTTAAGAAAGTTCGCGAGGCGCAGCTAGGAGAAATTGTCGATAAACTGTGTGACTATGCTACTCAGAAGAACAAGGAGGAACTACGTGACATCGCCGGAATTGGTTAGTATAATTGTACGGCACGCGTACTATTATTGGTGATTGACTTAAGTGACATAATATTTTCCGCCTCGATAGGTTTGAAGACTGTCATTGTCGAAATACCGAATCATTCACAGAGCGCGGGAAATGTGATGCAAAAGTTGATTCCAAAACTTCTCGATCAGCTAGGGAATGTGGGTAAATTCATCAGTCAATTCCCATTTCCTTAATTGATGGTTTCATTTTTTTTTTTTTCCGATGAATTCATTATACAGGCTAATGCATCATACGAGGTACAAATGGATACTCTCGACATCTTGAGCGAACTTCTCGCTCGCTTTGGCGGTTCGGTGGCCAATAATGTGTCCTCGCAAAAGAAAATTCAAACATGCTTGATAAATAATTTGAGTCATTCGCGTCCAGCTTTTAGGAAAAGGACCACCATTGCACTTGGTGGGTTCAAATCAGGATTTCTGATCAAAACTTGAAGATGATTATTTATCAAAAATTTTCTTCCCGCGAATTTCATCTTAGGAAATCTTGTGACACACACACCTGATGATCTTTTCAATGAATTGGTACAGAAATTGCTGGAAGGCTTTGAGAAAGCGCAGAATCAGAAAGATAATCTCAAGACCTTAATCCAGTGTGTCGGAACATTGAGGTAAAATGGGCTTTCCCTATGTCACGCAATGATGGATGATTTGCCCAACTAAACTCGCTTTGCGCGTCTTCCAGTCGATCGAGTGCCCCGAGACTGGGAAAGTACTTGCCCCAATTTTTACCGCTTGTCATTAACCACATCGACGTAAATGACGATGAACTACGTGAAAATTGTTTACAGGTAACTCGGTTTGATGGTTCAAACCTTCTCGGAAAAAAAATAATAAATTGATGCAATCTCTGATTTTAGGCACTCGAGTCATTTGTATTGCGTTGCCCGACGGAAATTACTCCATATATCGATTCTATCATTGATATTTGTTTGGTCTACTTGAAATACGATCCGAATTACGATAGCGGTGAAATGGAGGAGGACGAAGACGCCGAGATGGATGAGGATGAAGAAATGGTAACCGAGGATGAGGAGGAGGAGGAGGAGGAAGGGTGCGCATATCACGATGACATGTGTCTTTGCTAATCAGTCAAAAGTCGGTGTTCAAAGTCGCTCTTATTTTATTCAGGGATTACTCCGATGATGATGACATATCTTGGAAAGTTCGCCGATCTTCTTCGAAACTCCTTGCAGCCATCATCGGTACGAGACATGAACTTCTCGTGCAATTGTATCACAACGTTGCGCCGGCCTTGGTCAACAGGTTCAAGGAGCGGGAAGAATCCGTTCGCGTGGATGTACTCCAAACGTTCATAATTCTTCTCAGACAAACCTTCGTATACGGTGGAGAAGGTTACATTCCACGAGAAAATGATCATGAACCCAAACGTCGAAGGGCCGTGGGACCAAGTGAATCGCAAGAAAGGTAAGGTATTTCACGTAACGCTTAAATTTCTCAATTTATCAAATGAGCCACGTGGTTTTTACTTGGAATAATACCTTCGAATAGTCCCAAACAGATGCTGCGAAATTTGGTTCCAAAACTAAGTCGTAACTTATCAAAGCAATTGGTTTCGAAATCGATTGCGACCAAACAAACGGGCTTCTTACTTCTGCGCGAATTGGTCACAGTGTTGAACGGAGGCCTCGATAATCATCTCGGCATACTCATGCCCGCCATTGAAAATTCCTTATCAGCATCTTCCGACTCCTCTCATCATCACGCGAGCACGAATTCCAACCTTAAGATCGAAACGTTGAGCTTTCTTCGTCAACTGTTTAAGGTTCATCCGCCTCAAGTTTTTCACGCTCACCTCTCACGATTGTGCCCACCAATAATCAATTCTGTCAAAGATAAATTCTACAAGATAACGTCCGAAGCTTTCCTAGTTTGCATAGAGTTGGTCAAGGTCATTCGTCCTATAGAATTTCAGGAATCTACTCAAACATACAATGTGCAACCACTGAATCCAGAATTCCAAAGTTATGTGCTGGACATTTACGATGCCACCATGGCCCGCCTTTCAACCACCGACGCGGATCAAGAAGTCAAAGAAAGATCAATAATGTGCTTGGGCGTTCTTATTTCTCAGACTGGTGATAACCTACAAGATCAGCTCAAAACATGCATGCCACTGTTACTGGACCGTCTGAGAAATGAGGTCACACGTCTGACCACGGTTAAAACGTTCACGACGATTGCAGACAGTACAGTCTGCGAAAGCGACGAGGTGAGGTCATCCATAAAAGGAGCTATCCAGGACGTTGCAATTTTGCTTAGGAAGAGTCACCGTCAGTTGAAGGTAGCTACTTTGGTATGCCTGGAGGTCTTTGTCCGACGGTACGTAAATATTTCCTGGGATCATTTTGTAGGATGTCCTTTCAACGCATTCTAAGAAATTTCGACTGTCGAATCTTTAGATACGGCATGCTTCTTGGTCCAGAGAATTATTCTCGAGTTCTTGAAGAGTTGACGCCTCACATCTCTGACCAAGACCTTCACCTACTGCCCTTGGCATTGAATACAGTGGTTTCAATCCTGCGCACAAATCCTTCATCACTTGCGTCAGTGCATAGCGGCATCATGCCCAATGT